GCGATTACAAGCTACGAAGTTACGTCAACACGAAAATATAAGAAATTCTTAAATACTTTGAAACATAATTTCACTGAATATAATAGCTAGCAAATAGATGAAGGCGGTAGGTCTGTTGTATGATTCCAGTGTGATTACGACTCAGGGGCACCAGGTGCTGTGAAACGAAGAGGTAACGTCTCTTCAAAATACGCAGAGCGCGGTTTTCAATCGCTTTGGAAGTGAACCTGTAGTTCTTCTTGGATAGAAAAACCTGTTGAGAGACAAAGATAACTGAAATGTAATGGTATTTTGAAGCTACTTTAAGTCCTTAATCGACCTCAAACGACCTAGGCTGACCAGGCTTTTAGGAAAGAGGAAAGCCAAGAGAAATTGAACAGCTAATCCCTTTTTGGATTCTGCCTAAGCAACCATCGTTGCCTGTCAAAAGCTATCTGTTTTACCGATTATTGCAGAGGTTTATTGCAGAACACTTGGCATTCGGACAACTTGGATATAGCGGTGACGCCTTACACAGTAGCTGCCAACCCCGATGAGTTGGCTCAAAGCAGCTCTATTTAGTAGGACTAGTCATCGAAGTCGCTATTCGCTTCAAGGCCAGCACCACTACAAACTAGGCTGCAATAGAGTTATTCGCATCTCTTGCAGAGGAGCTTGTATCACTTGTCCCACAAGTAGATCGCAAAGTAGGCTTGAGTAATCTGTATTTTCGTAAAATTATATCAAAATAGTTGGTTTTAAAAGAAACCTTGATTGTTAATAATGCAGGCTTCGGGACTTATATTCTATTTGTTGGGTTAGCTTTTATTTCGACTGGAAAGGTGTGAGGGAGAGACTATGGAGGCGAAATCCTTTTTACAGACATTACCAGAGCAGGGTAGCATTCTTAAAATTAATTTACGATAACTTATAGAGGAAACTCCTCCTTTTTTTTAATAAGTCCTATATATATATATATATTTCTTTTTCTATTCCTATTCCTATTACCATTTCTATTTCTATTTCTATTCCCATTTCTATTTCTATTTCTATTTCTATTTCTATTTCTATTTCTATTTCTATTTCTATTTCTATTTCTATTT